AGTATCTTAACTACCACAGTTTCTGCCCTATTCGGTACAAAAGAGGCTTAGTAAGGTGCCTCTTCAGTAGAATCCGACGAATATGCACTGAAGACACGCTTGATGAAGAAGAAAGAATTTTGACACAAACTCTGGTTGATAACAATTATCCAGAAAAGTTCATCAGGAGATATAAAGTAGTCAGAACACCAAGACCCACTCTCCAACTCGCCCCTAAGAAAGACGTGTACATCAAGCTACCCTATATGGGACATCAAAACAGCTTGATAACTAGACAAAGGCTGAACGCTGCTGTTAAAAAGACTTTTTATGCAGCTAATATCATAATATTAGAGAATGTAAAGCCATTATATCTATCTAAGCCCTTCGAACATGCGAAAAATGACGTCACATCCCACTGTATTTACCAATTTGAATGTACGTGTGGACACACATACATAGGGAGGACTCATCGATCTCTGCAAGTAAGGGCTTCAGAGCATATTCCAAAATGGCTCCAGAAACAAATGGAATCATCAGAACCTATTAACGGTGAGAACAGGAGACCTAGCTCTTCTATTGCGAAACATATTATAGAGACAGGTCATAAAATTGATGTTAACAGATCTTTTAAACCTATCTATAAAACGTGTTTGGGGCGTATCCTAAAGTTTGTAGAAGCCCTAGCAATTAGAAAGTTCAAGCCACCTTTATGTGTTCAAAAACAATTTGCCATTACATTAAACCTTCCTTGGTAAATTTTGTTTTGATACCATAGCAGATGTACTATTACCTCTGCTATTTGGTTTAGTGGTCTTCATTTTTATTTTTTGACCTTGAATATGTCCTTTTAACTTGACCTAAGTCTATTTTTCTCACCTCTTACCTCTTTATTAATTTTTTATATATATATTCCTATGACAAGTCCGTGTGTGATCAGATTGTTCGAAATGTGTTGCGCAAATACATTACACGATTCAGACAAATTACGTCTTCTTATTGCTTTATCTAAATTCATAAAGGGAACTAATTGTTTTAAATTTTCAAGTGTAGATTGTTGGAATTGATAAATGTATAAAATTATAAAAGCTGCGTGTGTCTGAATAATGAAATTGCCTATCACACTGGTGTTGATTTTGTCATATTTTGGGGGAGGGAGGTTTTGTAACCAGGTCAAATTCTGTTTTACTCCATCATTCCTATTCAGACAATCTGAATTCCATTTGATATGAAGTGATTCTGATATTAGACGTTCATTGTGTTTTCTGAAATTTTTCTGGATTATTTCAATATTGTCAAAATCAATTTTGTGGCATGATTCTATGGTGTGTAGACCCATGGCTGATGATTTTTCAAGCCCTTCTAGTTCAACCGGATATCTCATCGGTCGAAAAGATGCGTTACAGTGTCCATTTCTTCTGATTTTGATTTCTCGTGATGTTTGTTCGATGTAGATCACATCACATTCCAAGCATTTTATTTTATAGACACAATTAGATAGAGAATCTTTCGGGATTTGGTCTTTTATACGGATGGACAAGGTTGCTTTGAAGTGTGTCTGATGTTTTGAAGAAAAGTCTGATGTCAAGCTTATTGAGTACTCTTCTGATAGAGTCTGAAATCTCCGCACTACGTGGTATGATAACTGTTGAGGTCCATGTTTTCGGAATACATTTTCGGTCAAACTTAATGTCAATGTTGATTTTGTTGGTGAAGTTCTTTGCGTAGTTATTTTGCTTAAGAGTTTCAGTATTGTTTCATGTTTCTTCTTCTTTTTCTTTCTCATCCATTAACATCAAAGAGTGTGCTCATCTAAGAAGACTTGAAACAACTGATACCTTTGCGCTAGTGGAATGTGATGATCCGAAGTCTAAATGTTTGTTGGAGTGGGTTTTCTTCCTGAATATAGATATACCAAAGTGTCTGTTTTCCATCCTCCTAACTAGACAGTCTGAAAACGGCAGTTCGCCGATGTCTAATTCTGTTTCCGAAAGAAACTGGATGCTGTTTCTCTGGATTCTCTTTCTTATCCACACCCTTACGCTATCTGTCTACCCATTATTTGTGACCGTGACCTGCAAACAAATGTCATAATTCATACTATCTTGCCTTCTATATAATTGCGAATACATTACACGTTCGAGATAAACTACATATTCTCACATTGTTTTTGTCAGAATACAAGATAGTTCATTACAGAGTCACCCTACTTCTGCTCTTCTCTTTTTCACTTAGTTTCTTTTAACAGTGAAGATTTGAATTAGAGCATTTCCGGGGCGGAATTCCACGTTAATGCGTATATTTTAATGATAACTGCGTTGTTAATTATAAACGTCGGCCGTTTATACATTTTTGTTACTTTGTTCGCTTTAAATTTTCAAATGACTGTAACTGGTCAGTTGAGGGCATTACACCTAAGTCATTTGAATACAAGTCCTTGTACTCTTAACTAATTATCATTTATGAATATAAGTAGGTATGGTTCATGATATTAGGTGGGAGATGGTGCTAGATCTTTGACTTGTTCAGAACAACTGTTCTCTTATTAAAGTAGAATGTGAATGCGGTAGTCAGTACATAGTACTAATAACCGTGGTATCAACTCAACACTTGATCATGACTACGCTGACCAAAAGTGTACCACATAAATCTATTGAACGTCACTAGCCAAAGTCATTTTGTAGGTAGGTCTCTTGCAACTGCTATACTCACAGTTGTTCTTACACTGGACGATAACCATATATGAAGCAGGACAAAAAAGTAACAGTTTCATTTTGTCAGTATCTTCTCGACTGTTTGCAATCTAAATTAAAACAAAGTATTGTGTGAAGAAGTGAAGTAAGAAAACCTGAATTTTGGTTTCTTTTTCTTCGATGACTAGCCATGCATAAATTTAGCATAGGCTAACAAGACGATTTAAATGCTTTTGTTTGATTAATTTCGTATTTCCATATACAATTAGAATGAATACTTAATTATTAAAAGATTTAATACACTCAATTATTTCATAATTGTTTTCTCCTAATTCTTCACAAAACACCTAATAAAAACATGCATGTAAATCAAAACAATTGCATGCAATTTCGTAACTTACTAGTTACTTTCCTCGTTAAAACAATTGGTTATAATATTATTGGCTTTTGTAACACAGTTGTGAGAAACAATCAAGACCAATACCAGCGGACAAGCAACCTTAATTTAACCCATTTGGAATCATGTAAAATTTATTGATCAAGAATTTTCAAGTATTGGTTTTGGTAGGGATTTCGTTTGATTGATTGGAGGATTTTATCATGAGCTAACATCATTTCGAGAACCATTGGAAAACCAGCTGAGAGTGCCGGATAGCTGTTTCACCCTAGTTTGCGACTCCTCATCACTACGCACCCACTAAGGCTCGAACACTGGACCTCTCGGTTACAAGGTGAACTCGTAGAACATTAAGTCACTGGGAACCGATCTAATGGCCAACCCATGAATTCTAACTTCTGCCGACTCATGACATAGCGTGACCACTTCAAGATGTTATCTTGGATGAGTTACTGCCTCACCTTCAACCTGCTGCACCCTACTGGTTATGGCTTCTCACTAGGACCCCGGGTCACTGATTGAATAGGGCCAATCACTAGTGAGCATTAGATGAACTTTCAATTTTTGGTTTTAATATTTCTTAAGATAATGCTTTACATATATATATATATACATATATATATATATATATATATATATATACAATATGGCAGTCTGTCTAAAATTTGGGCTACCGAAAACCTCTATAGATTTATTGCATACAATTTCTCTTACTCAATTTGTTTAAATCTATTGAAATATAACTTATAATAGTATTGTTTTATGTGGAGCGTATTTAAAATATTTACGACCTGCTGATTCACAAGTTTCTGTGAAAACATGTGGTCTCCTTGGTTCACAAAATGTTCTCCTCAACATTACATAATTGGCATTCAACGGAATATAGTGTATTTCTCAAAGGAGGAAAAGAAGATACAGCATAATTGGTCGATTTGCCCTTCAGGTCAGATGAGAACTGTGTCACACTATCTACTGTCAATCAAATCTTTCATTTGAAGATCCTGTAGGAAGAGAAAATACCATGCAATAAACTTGGCTGAAAATTCTGTACACTTCATAAACATTATTTAGATTGAAACTATCACTATTATATGTAAATATCATCAGAACTTCAATTTTATTCATTTAGTCAATAATTTCTACTGCTTTGTTGCAATAATCGTACCAAACGTTTGATAATCACATTTCATCTGGCTTCGTATAAGGAATATCAGTTTGAAATATATCTAAAATAACTTTCAGGGGCAAAGAGTTTGTAGCTGAAGAACATATAATGAACCACTCGCCTTAGATTTGATAACAATGTTAGGCTCAAACTAGTCGGTCACAAACCTTCAGTCAATATAAACTTGATATAAACTTTTGTAATATATTTTAATTGAACTTTTGATTTTTCCATCGACTGATTGGACCAAAGTGCTCGGTCTCAGGTTGACATGTCGGCTGCTTGTGCAGATGTTCCGACGATGTCTGGGCATTTAATTAGTATTTAATTGGTGGATGGTGACTAGCAGTGGAATCCAGGATGCGCATTACGTCTTATTTGGGACTCGTCATCTGGATGTACCTGCATTTCTCAGTGATTGATGATGTGCGCACCCTGGATTCCACTGCTGGCCACCATCCACCAATTAAATACTAATTTTCGTAATATAGCTTTACATAAACAGTTAACTATGATTCTGTTATTAGTGTATGTTAGCTTTTTCTGATACATTACTAATCTGATATGTCTACGTATATTTATATTTGCAGATAACATTTAGTTCATCAAAGAACTCAAAATTTTGATAATGTTCAATATTCATATACGTCAACCATTCAATCGGTTATATTATCTGAAGAAATTTAAATGCGCTTTATGCTTTTGCATTTTCAAATGTATTTTTAAGTTTTTCCTAATCATATTTTTTCTAGAGTTAGCATACTTTATGGTAACAGTATTCCTTTACAGTGTTTCACATTCGAAATACAATATTGAAGACGATTTCTACATAGAAACTGCTATCGATGAAGAAAAAAATGACGACCGTCATTTAAGTCAAACAAAGAAATCATTAAAGATATTAAATAAAAATGTTAGTAAATTTTATGAATACTTATTTACACCAAATACTACAGTACATATTAAAACAATACTAACACCATTAAATAACTGTGATAAGATGACACAAACAAATACAACAAATATTCTAGTTTTTGTTAAATCAACAGCTGATGAATTCGACTTACGCCAATCAGTGCGTGCTACATGGGCTAACTCTAGATGCTTCACAAAAAATGGTATAAAAGCACAGATTTACTTTACACTAGGCAGAGGGAATTCATCAAATTGGAATGAATCCTTAATACAACATAGAATTTTACTTGAATCTAAGCAATATCATGATATTCTACAGTTTGATTTCATTGAAAGTTACTATAATTTAACACGGAAATTAATTGGAACTATTCAATATGCTGCATTCCATTGTTTTACATCGAAATTCATTATCCTAATTGATCATGATTTTATTGTGAATCCAGTGAATTTAGCGAAATTCCTGTTAAACATCAGTGATGCCCAATATCCAAGATATGTTGCTGGTCATGTGATTAGAAATGCTAAACCATTTCGTACAAATACAAGCAAATGGTCTATCGCAAAAAAAGTCTATCCTTTCGATTTTTATCCAGCTTATCCGCTTGGTGGGACAATTATTTTTAGTCGTCCAGTTACTATTGAATTGAATAAAAAACTAATTCATATGAAGTTATTTCCATTCGATGATGTATTACTCGGCATAGTATTAGCAAAAATGAAAATATCAATCTTTCCTATTAAAAATATTTTAGTGTCAAAATATCCTTTGAATTTTAGAAGACAATTTCTCACAGCACAAACAAACGGTGTTCCAAGGTTAATGGTGAATACATGGAAATCTCTACGATTTACTGATATGTGTATACTATGAAAATAATAGTTTAGATATTTATCTTTCAAACTTGTGTCTACAATGAACTGGGTATTTGATGATACTTTTCATACTGAGTCAGGCATGGCTGCTGCATTTCTTAAATAAAATTTATTATAATTATATTTCATTAGTTTACACACGATGATAAGTTTTCATTTTCGGTAATATTTCGAGCAAAATTGCTGCATGCGATCACACCAACTGCTAGAACTGTTATTTTTTAAATTCACACTTTTGTGATTTGTACTCACATGCATAGTTCATCTTGTGTCCATTCATTTTTGTGTATCTAGAATTATATTCCAGGTTGCTGACACTTGTGCTGAGTCACTGTTGTTACATGTATCCGGTGTGACCCTAAAGAATATAGATTCCGTTAATAGTCTCTTCTTCTATTTGTTCATATCAGATTTCAGAATACAAACAGTGATGCAATCAATATTGTGGTTTTGTCTGATGCATGTAGCATTATAGGTGAATTTTTTTCTAAATTGTTTAGTCAGGAGGATTTTATCATGAGTTAAAATCATTTGGAGAACCATTAGAAAACCAGCTAAGAGTGCCGGATAGCTGTTTCGTCCTAGTTTGTGACTCTTCATCACTGCGCACCCACTTAGGCTCGAACCCTGGACCTCCAGGTTACAAGGCGAGCTTGCAGAACATTAAGCCACTGGGACCCAATCCAATGTTCAACCCATAAATTCTGACTTCTGCCGACTCATGACATAGCGTGACCACTTCAAAATGTTTTTTGGATGAGTTACTGCCTCACCTTCAACCTCTTGCACCCAACTAGTCAGGTTGAAGGTGAGGCAGTAACTCATCCAAGATAACATCTTGAAGTGGTCACGCTATGTCATGAGTCGGCAGAAGTTAGAATTCATGGGTTGGCCATTGGATTGGGTCCCAGTGGCCTAATGGTCACCGAGCTCGCCTTGTAACCGAGAGATCCAGTGTTCGAGCCTAAGTGGGTGCGTAGTGATGAGGAGTCGCCAACTAGGACGAAACAGCTGTTCAATACTCCCAGCCGGTTCTCCAATGCTTCTCGAAATGATGTTAGCTCATGATAAAATCCTCCAATCAATCAAGCGAAATCACAACAAAACAAATACTTTCTGAATTATTTTAAACTTGTGTTTCTCTGGGATAACATTTAGCTAGGCATTTATGTTCATTCAATCTTATTTTAAGTAATTAAAACGTCTGACCGAAAAACAAAACATTGTGTGTAAACTACTCAAATATAATTATAATTTGTATGACCAATTCCACAATGCTCAAACTTTTTATTGACTTTAATGTAAAGTAAATGTTTTCGTGTTGTTTATTTTTGAATCAATAATGCTGAAATATTGATTTGTTTTAATTATCTCAGCACAACACAAGAGAATTCTCAAAAGACTTTTTGCTGAACAGAAGAAAGACGTTCAAAATATTTCTTCTTCATTTAGCCCGAGAATGCAAAAACCACAAGTTCGAATAAACGCCTTATACTGGCGTGGAATATTTTGTTTCGAACACCAAAATGGTGTTTGAATTCAAAAGGGAACTATTGTTAGGTGGTTGTACTAAAGGAAAAATGTTTACCATTGATATCTGATAATTTACTAATGAAATATCTGGTTCCTTCAAATCAAAAAGGAAACGTGCCGCTGAAACCCTCAGAACGGAAGGGAGGAATGATATATAATACTGTAATATAATGATAATAATAAGGAAATGATATAAAATGGTATTGAATAATATTTAAAACAGTTTATTACGTAACCATCTTCTTCATCCATGTAGGGTATGATATAATTCTAAAAGAAAATATAGGTCTGTTTATACTCAAGACTGGAGTACAGGTTTAAATAAAACGATATGACATAATTCATCTGAAACTGGTTAGGGATTTACGCAAGACATTCCGGAAATTCTGATCACCGGCGTACTTGTCAAAAATATTTATGTGAAAGGCATCAGAGCATTTTTATCGATATTGGTCAAAACGTTTACGGGTCACTGTCACAGATATAAGGTAAGAAAATTAGCTAAGAAAGATGGGGAGTGAAAATATTGTTAAGTGAAATAAATCTTGGTTTCAAAACTGGATTACTAAGGCAGGTTGAAAGTAGTAACAAGTAAAGCATAGAACAGGTTTAGGCCTTTTGATAGCTAAGGTTATGACGAAATAAAGTATTTAATCCAAACCGTTTCATATACAGGTTTATAGGCACAAATCTGCGATGCTTTTGAGATAGATGACGCGCTAGATATGTATTTTCGGGATTAATTGAGACAGTTGAATTTATTTATTCTTTCGTCCACTCATGATTGTGTTGTGTAGCCCCAACCTGCAGGAACTGGTGGATCCTCCGATTTTATGCGTGACCACACATATATGTAAATTCGTATACACAGTGGGATGTAATACTATAGTCTGAATGCTGTGAAGGTTCACAGGACAACGTAAATTTCATTTTCCTTATGCACAATAAGTTCTATTGAGTGCCTCTCTTAGTCTTTTTTGGTGATACAGATGTGTAAAGAAGAACAAGAGTAGAAAGCATCAAAAGTCGTATATTACTGTCGGATGATCCAGTTTCCTTGGCCATTGAACAAAGGAGTAAAACACCTAGCTGCAGAAAATAAAAATAATTTCATTATTTATCAAGTGTTGGTTTCCAAGGGTATGACTGATTACTGGTTATTTTACCAGTATTTTAAGCACATTCTCTGAAATCCAAAAATTTGAGAGCCGATAGATATCATAACCCCACTGACATAAAATGAGCAGTCACACATGAATCCTTGAAGGTTAATTTATTTGAAATTCGGTATGTCGGTAATTACTCAACAAGATTGCATTGCGCACCCTTCAACTGTCACAAAAAGTTTGTTACTTTCTAGATGTTGTTTCCTTATGTAGTGACTTCCTAGTCTATACACTTTGTTTCTAAGACCGTTCATCTACTTTTCTTCACAGTGCATAAAGGTTTATGAATTCCTCAACACATTTCACATCATACCTCTGATCACTTCATAAAAAATAAACCAATTTTGGCTGTAATGTACTAGGAACATAAGACAGATCTACTGTATCGATAAACAACTCAGACTTATTTAGATGACTGTCTAGGTTGAAATAAGCTACTTTTTGGTTTAGTGACAATAGTGGCTAAAATTTTTATATGTAGTGAATTCTTTCATAACACACTTGTAATTTAGCGTCAGTAGAACAGCGGTAGAATGCTCACCAGCCACACATGTGGTTCGTTGTTCAACCTCCAGCCAATGCATTTTTTTACCCAGCTGAGCCAGTAATTAGACTGGTAAAGAAGGAAGGTTGGGCATGAGGCTAGCAATATCATCCCGCAAAAATAAACACCATCGCTACCGAAACTTCAAAGCTCTAGCCTGAAGCCTTATGTTCCAATCGAAACGTAAAGGAATAAAATAAATCATGAATAATAATGAATTCGTTTGTAGTTGGTGTATTATTGTTGTGTTTCCTTTCAGTGAATCTAAGAAGAAACTAGTTTCTGCTGACAAAATGCCATTCTATGAGAATAAGGTTTGAAATGAAATAATTGAAATACTGTGTGTCATATATGACTGAATTTCATATTAACACGAACCAAGTGCTGCATGGGAGTTAATAATTTAAAGAACAACTGACCAATCTCCTTGCAATGCGTAGCAATACAAATCTTTTCAGCTGATGTGATTTCATAGTGGAATCTTCCACTTAACTAACAGAAGTAAATATGTGTTCGTCTTGAATCATGTGTCGGTAACCTGACTAGTAACAAGACTGATGAAGTAATCTTTTTTTCCAAATATTGATTTCAAAATAATATATGAATATTCTAAAGGACATTATATCGCATTTCATATATCCTCATCGGTTAATTTCTAATAATGACAACCGATGCCAACATTCCTTTTCCTGGTTGCGCAATGGAAAGAAAATCTAAGCTATAGTATTTTCTATAAAAGCTTTTATGACATAATTCCATGGCGGGCATTTCTCAGCTAATAAAATCATAGAGTCACCGGAATTTATAACCTGTTTAAAAGGGATCATGTAGTCATCAGACATTCGCTTTTACATGTCTTACACATTCTTATAAGACTCAGCTCTGTATGGTATTAACGCTAATTGTGGCGGTTTACATTTTCCGTCTATATTTTTCTTTATCATGAACTTCGACCTAGAGTGATAGAAATTTGTTAAAATATGTCACTTTGACATAAGTGATAGCTGCAAAGGAAGGGAATGGGGTATGCACTATCCATAACAGTCGACTGTTTAGTGTCATTCAACAAAATTGAACTATATATTCACAAATTTCAATTGGGTTACAGACCTAACCAACCACGAAATGTTTCGTAAGTTATTCCCACATACATGATAAGATCATATACACAAACCAGGGAATATAAAAATCTATTTACATCGACAGTTTTATTTCATATTTCAGTAATCGTTACTGATTTACTTGTATAGAATCCTGTTTACCATTTTTGGTAGAAAAAAAGACCTACTTTATATTATTCATAGATTCAAGTGTTGGTTTGTAGGGATTTGATTGGTTTCAGGATTTCATCATGAGCTGACATTAGTTAGAGAACCACTGGAAAACCTGGGTGTACTGAACAGCTGTTTCGTCCTAGTTTGGGACTCTTCACAGTACACACCCATCGCCAGGGTTTGAAAACAGAACCTTCCGGTTACAAGGCGAGCTTGTATACCATTAAGCCACTGGGACCCTATCCAATAGCCAGCCCATGAATTCTAACTTCTGCCAAGTCACGACATAGCGCGACCGCTAGTCAATGTCTTCGGTGAGTATTTGTCCTCACACTTGTTGAACGTCTTTTAGGAAGCTACAGTGATTTACATTGTCACTGGAAAACATCGAAATGTAAGGAGTAATGGGTGATCTAAATGCTGAGGAGAATCCACTATGCAACAGGCAACGACTAATACAAACTGAGTGACACTATAGACA